ATTACTTAAAAAGAGCATTCCTAAAAATAAAAAGAAAAACTCCCAGTTCATTTAATAAATTGAATGTTTGTTTCTTTAATTAGCTAATAATGAACATTGTTTATATATTCACAAGGCTTTATTTATTTAATGTTTCAAAAATAACGGTTATTAATCACTAAATTTTTCCGTGCTTTACTTTTTTATACCGCTTATGCCTACTTCAAATTTGAGCTATCAGGTTTCCTTGAACATTTATTTACAAGTACTTCCGCAAATTGAAAACACAAATATAGTTGTTCTATGTCTTCGTTCTTTATGATTTCTTCCTATCCAATTGCATCAAACTCGAGTAGTAAACAAATTCTATAAGCTGTTCACCTTGTAACTCAACGGAGCACTACAAAATAAAAAATTAGAAGTACGTATTTGTTTATGCTTCTCTCAGTGCTTTAAAAAGTTGCTTTTCGCAATAGATAAACAATCATTACATCAATGGGAAAAAAGCGGTATCATATTAAGTGATATCTTTCCACAAGGCGAATTTATTCAAGCGATTTTTTTGAAAAAATCGACGAGTTAATAAAATATTTGCTTCTTTTTTAAAAATGTTAAATGCTTGAAAAAGTCTTTAAAGATCTGCTTAACAGTTTACACGAAATTATTCCATTCAGTGCAAACAGCAGTGATACAAGTAATAATTTTGAAATGTTTTTCTTTATGCATGCACATTCTTCATCAGGTTGCAATAAATGATGTCGCGTCAGCAAAAGTCCTTTACTAAATATGTACTTTTAAAGCAGTTAGAAATGAAATAATTTCGTAAGGTTTTTTTAATCCTAATCTATCGACAATAAAGAAAATAATGTTTATAATAATAACGAAACCGCGTTCACCAGCGTGGATCAGATTTCTACATTCATTAATAGCCCTCCACAAGTTTGAAGCCCCTCAGCACAATCCATCTTATTTGACCACATTGGAATGCGGATTGAACAATTGCCTACCTGAGTCGGTCAATACACATTTGGAACCCGAGGAGCTCAGCAGTCTTACAAACACTTTCACATTTCTTTTTTCACGTTTTTTTTTTTTTTTTTTTTTTGATAACCGAGTGGTTTGTACAGATGGAAGAGAAGGACTCATCAACAGGAATAGAAGTCTCATGCCATAACCACTCGGCCACCCTGGGCGTCAACCGGCGCCCAGGATTAACATTGTATTTAACATTGTAACCCCTTATTAACATTGAATTTACTTCAGGTTCTGTGTAATTGTCAGTGCGTCAGTTTAAATCAGTATTCTGAGTGAATTGGTTAAATAATTTCCCGTGTTCTTTTTTTCTCAGTAGTTTTCCAGACAACATTGCTTTTTAAATTGTTACCAGTACGAAATATTAATTTTTGTTTCAAAGCACTGAACAAATCGATTAATTTTTTTTGAAGCAAATTAATTCATTTTAGCATTGTAAAATGTACTTACGTTCGGAATAAGAGTAAATATATCGAAAGACATATATTTCCTTTCTTAACCCTTGGAAACATGTTTCAGTAAGCCTTTTTAAACACACACGAAAGTATAGTTTATATATTCTACATTTTGAAAGAAATGTGGTTATAAATTTCTTAAAATAGTAGCTTTAAGTTTTTAGAAAAATGTATGTATATGAGTGTATGAAGAAATAGATTTCACACATAGTACTCAAGATGTTTTTATAAAAAAAATGTAAACAATGCTTCGGAAATGAAAATAGTTTAAGAAAACTGAGATTTTCGTTTCAATATTACTGTATGAAGATGAATTATACGTCACGAGAATAGAGTGTAAAAGATTTTTAAGTAAAGGAAATGTTTCCTTATATTTAAAAAAACGGAATTGAAATGAAAAATTATAATACAAAATTATTCTCAAGAACAGATAAGGGAAAGAAAAGGGATATTGCCATGTACTAACCTGACTTCCATGTTAAAATACAGTGGATGACATGACGATGTGGTCTACTTAGGGGCCGTACCACATTCTTTTCTGAAACGTAAGTATTTTCATACCAAAGGAAAGTTTTGTTTTTTAACTTTTAACAATATTCTGTGAATACATGAAAAAAAAATTGACCAGGAGCGGGATTCGAACCCGCGTTCACCACCGTGAATCAGATTGCTACATCTATTGAGAGTCCTCCAACTATGCAGAAGTTTGAAACTCCTTCGCAGAATCCATCGCGTAACCATTACCACATTTGCATGCGGATTAAACAATTGCCAACGTTAGTCGGTCATCACACTTCTAAACCTGAACGAGCTCAGATGTTTTATGAAGCAATAGTAACATTTTTTTTTTATTTTCCTCCCTGGCGGTTTTTTTTATTTTTTTTCTTCACCAGTATTAATAAAGAGACAGATGAGGAGGACTATTCAACAAGAATAGAAGTCTGATGCCATAACCACTCGGCCACCCTGGACGACGGAGAGGGCACCGTAAAACACTCCCAGGATATTAACATACACCGTTATATATAGTTCCACATATTTGTGCTTTATTTCAAATCTGTGTCCTGCGTGAATTTGTTAAATAATTTTAACTGTTCTTTTTTTTTCAGTGGTTTTCTAGACCTCATTGCTCTTTAGCGTTTTAAATTATTACCGGAACGGGGAATTAATTTTTGTTTCAAGACGCAAAGCAAATCGAATCTTATTTTCAAGCAAATTAATCACATTTAGCAATGTAAAATAATGTACTTATGTTGAAAATAAAAGTAAATATTTTGTAAAGCACATATTTGCTTTTTTAACCCTTTGAAACTTATTTCAGCAAGCGTTTCACAACATTATAAAATCTTTGATTAGCTCGTAGTTTAACTTTTAGTAATAGCAAACCTCCGAGACGTTCTTGCTACGCCAAAGCATTCTACTTCATACACATTAATATTGTTCCGAAGAACAACAGTAAAATTTATACTTCAGTAACTGGTGAAGTACGGGCTCCCATTGCTAGTCTACGAAGTTAACTAAAATTTGATACTCTTTATTGAGCCATTGCAAAAAGTGATATTGTTGCAAATATAGCCCACATGCATGTTATAATTAATCAAAATTAAATAAAGACAGGAAATATATACACAATGGTATTAACCAATCAGACTTTTCATCGATTCGGAAATATTTATAAAGCTATTAAAATTATTAAAATGAAAGAGTTTTTAAAAGAAAAAAAGAGTATATATATATATATATATATATGTTCAGTTACTCTTTATTAAATACCGGTCAATGTCAAAGTAAAAAAGTAAATAGCATCGGAAAATTAAAACAAATACAATTCACATCTGAAATGTAGGATCAAGGGACTCATTGGAAGAGGGAGTTTTAGATAACTATGTTATGTGCGTAAAACCCCATCAGTAATGTCATGTCAACTCACTTGGGGCAATGGTTAAATCATTTGCATTGAGGCAAGCCAGTCGTGCTCTAATAAAATCTCGGGTTTTAATTATTTACCCCGTGGTTGAAAGCATTTGAAAGGTTATTTTTATTAAATTATTCCAGGGAGCGGCGCTAGGAGTATTAGTGACGAATCTCGTAATTTTACACAGTCATTAATTTTTACCTAATATGCAATTCCTCTTTTTAAACGACACCTTGTTTATAATTTCCATTGAATAAAATTTTTCAAATATTAAATTTAGTTTTGTACTATATTTTACATTTAATTAACTCTAAAGAAATTTGTAAGTCTTAAATTAGTAGCTTTAGTTTTTACAAAAACATATGAATAATTGAGTGTAAGAAGAAATAGACCTCGGTATTCAAAATATTTTTTTAAATATATATATATATATTAGATTATTGAGATTATTGTTTCTATGTTACTGTCTGAAGATAATATATAAGTTCGGACAATAGAGTTTAAAAATATGTAAGAAAAGGAAGTGTTTCCTTATATTTAAAAAAAAATTTGAACGGAAAAGTTATATTATAAAAATGTTCTCAATAAACAGGTAAGGAATAGAAAAGAGAAATTGTCATATGCGAACCTATAAGGCGATTGTTAAAATTCAGTCGATTACATAGATGTCGTCTACTTTCGGGGTTTTAGAATATTGTTTCCTGAAACGTAAGTATTCCGTACCATTCGAAATTTTAGTTTTTTAACTTTGAATACTATTCTGTGCATCTACAAAAAGAAATAAAGGGATTGAGAGCGGGATTCACAACCACGTTCACCAACTTGAATCGGATTACTACACACGGAGAAGAAAGAAATACTTGAAAATGAATACTCAGATGTACTCATTTTGAAATGAGTATGTTTGTATCAGATTTGAACGCAAGTCTTTATCGAACGTAAAACATTATAGAATTCAAAGCCAAAAAAAAAAAAAAAAAAAAAAAAAAAATGGTAAATCAACACTCTCAAAAAATTATTACAGACATCAGGACTATAAAAGTTCCCTTTATATACTGGCTATGTATTTTAATAATTGGAGATCAAAAACAAATATAGTTCGCTTAAATATTTCAAACTATATTTCGTATTTACCCCGTTACATGTGGAAGAACACATGAATTTTAAAATGAGTACGTACTATGGTTCAGTGTTCCTTTAAAATTCTTATTGTTTTTGAATGAAAATTCTATTACTTTTTAAGTGGCAAAAGGTTTTATATTATTTCTTTAAATTTCAAATTAATTCCTGGACAGCAGGCCGATGCAACTTCTTTTTACAGATTGGAGATGTGGATCAGTTGATAATTAAGACAAAATATCCATTATACATTAGATTGTAAGTACATTTAATTTTTATACATAATGTCTTATATTGTAGATAAATTTTGGAATTTTCAATAATAAAAAGTCTTGAAATTGATTACTGTGTTTCATTTTACAAATTAATTTTGCTCATTTTATAATTTCTGTTCTGTAATTTCTGATCTGAAAAAAGTATTTTAAAATTTACAAGAAGTTACTCTCTTAGTAAGATTAATTGCATACAAAAATATTTATTTTATAAACTTGCCTATTTCAAGACATGCAAGTCATTTTAAAATTGAATATAAAAAAAATCTTCCAAATTGAAAAACACTACCTTTAATATTTGTCTATAAATAAGTGCTTAAGGACATTTAACCTATGTGCTCCGCTAACCATCCAACCTATTCAGTGTTCAATATTTCAACGTGGTCGACTTGGATTTTGTAGAAAATAAGTCAAAAGAGTTGAAGCTTGAAAAATACTTGTCAAACTTCGTATTAAATGCAAAGCAAGTGCTTTGTATTTAATATTACATAAGTTTCATACTTTGGTAAAACTCTATATATGATTTACATTCCAATTAATGATATGGTGAATGTGTAATAAATTTGTCAAAATAAATTTGTAAAAAGGAAACGCGATAATCAATTTCAAGACTTTTTATTATTCTACATGCCAAAATTTCTCTACTATATGAGACATTATGTATAAAAGTTAAATGTACTTACAATCTAATGCAAAATGGATATTTTGTCTTAATTATGAACTGATCCACATTATTCATTTTAGATTTATCTTATTGTATAATATGTAATGCAAAAACTATGTTTTCATATGATTATACTGCCTTGCTTTAATTGAAAATACTTGTGACATTTCTAAAAAAAAATTGTTAAATTTTTATTTTTTATAATCATCAGGAGACAAGCTCTTTCTGAATAAATTTTAATTTACTAACTTGCTGTTCTTCTATTTTATAATACGCATTAATGTCAGCATAGAGTTTTGAAATCTACTGACATGCAGGATGAAGCATCATAATTTCTTAAAAAAAGAACTATGTAGTTAATTATAATAAAATAAATAATTCTTTTTACATTAATAGATTGTGAATTTTTTTCGAGTAGACAGATTTTGTTCTTCTTTTTATTACAGCTATATTAATGGGAAATACTTTTCTAAGATAATTTTTTTTAACACATTAAGGCATTTATGAAGAAAGTTTCGTCTTATTAGATAATGAGACGTTCAAATCTTTCATTCCTAAAACTGACCGTTGACTGGAATTTAAGAAATATCTCAATTATTTCATTCAAGCTACTAATTTTTCGTACTTGTCTATTATAGAGGCCCCCGATGATTAATCATCAAGTGACTAAGAAATATCTTTCGGTAGATTGTATCAAAAGATAGGCTTTACGAGTTTGGCAATGAATTGGCGTTTTCATAATTTGACGACCGCCACTATAACAGACAAGTACCAATTTATCTTCTGAACCTGCCTCCGATTCTACTGCCCCTCTTTATAATACTGATGTCACTTTTTCTAACCCTATTACTGTTACTACTGCATGTGTTGAACCCTTTACTATTCTTTCCCATTTTCTCTGTAATATTTCCCATTCTATGTTTCTAGTATTAATACTAACAGTTAAAATAGCCAATGTAACATTGTACATGATCTTTCTTTAAATGATTTTGAATCACTTTTCTCTTCTACTCCTCTATTACACTATCCTCTCCTTTATCCACATCTGGCGAGAAAAAAATTAATATTAGGGAGATAATCAAATTAAAGGTCCTCGTTATTTTTGCTCAATTTGAAGAGGGTGATCCATCCAACATCAATATTCTGCAAAAATATCATATTAATCGACTGTTGGTAAAAATATATACAGAAAATTACGGCTGAAGATCTACCACCAAAAATAAGTTTGACTTAGCAAAAGAACATGTGAATACTTTTCAGTTTTGAAAAGATCAGAAGGGGAAGGCTTTGTAAGTAATTTTTTATGTAGTTACTACATTTCCTAAATAAAGTGTTTTCATGTTTTGGAGGTGAGAAATGAAAGATACTGACTGGGTGCAGCTACAAACTAAACAAAATTCATTGACATCTGTCTTTGACTGACTGGTCAAGTTTTCTTTGTTTTATTACATTCAAAATGTTTTTCTTTTAAATTTTTGTATAAAATTTTACGATTCAAAATTGTTTACATTTAGTCTTTTGTCACTAAAAATGTACTATTTTAGTTATTAATATCGTTCACTGCTTCGAAATATTTAAATATGTTTTGTTTGGCTAGTTTTCAGCCAACTAGCATGTATTTTGTGTAGCTGTTAAGCATATAACCTGATATGTATGAGTAAAAGTTCAATTCTCACTTTCATAACTAAGACATAGTAAATACTGTGCTAGTTTTGTATAAAAATTATTTAAGTCAGTACTATCTAGTGTATTCAGTAGACATTGGAATATTCGGAATTACTTGCAATCTTCAGCGATAGTTCATAAGATCTGTTTATGCAATGCGCTTGAAATTAACTCAATTTTGCTTCAAACAAAATAATTTAGGTAATGTAAACAAACATTTTTAGCGCTAGAGACTCTACTTTGTGTAGTATCTAAGATGGATTTCTTTACTTTTCTAAACCAACTTTTACAGCGATGGATAACATTAGCATTGAGTTATATATAGACGATGTTGAT